TCCTGCTGCCTGGATGCTCTTCTCTAGCTGGCAAACTCCTGCAAGTTCTTCAGGACCCACTCATTCCCTCCACTTTGACGTCTCCCTGAATTTCAGCCTCACACTTGGGAGCAGTACCTGGGAACTGCTCCCCATCAGACTCCTCCCTCAGCTGCTCACTCCTCCGGCTCTCTCGGGCCTCTCTCCAGCGCAGCTTCTGGATGGACTGATTTCGGAAGCATTTCCGGATGCGGCACTTTTTTCGCTGCACGGTCTCTGGGCAGGGTGCGCCTCCAAACTGAGGCTCCATTTGGATCATCCGGGTTCGAATCATGTGGCCTTTTCCACATGACTTGTTACATTCCGACCATTGGGACCACTCGGTGAGCTCACAGTCAATGGCTGGCAAGACACAGATGGGTATGAGTGTATCATGTCTGAAACAAGGCATGGTCACTTACACTCTTTTGAACATCTCAGTGCAAGCCTATGAGAAATGCAAAGCAGGTGCTGTTATCTCGTTTTACAGAAGGAACTGAGGCTCCAAAGGCAGACTGATTTCATCCAGTGCACGTGGTAGGTAAGCAGTCAAGGTAGAATCAGTGCCCGGGTCATAACCCACATCTTATGGCCTCTCTATTACTTAAGATGGCTTTGGGGAGACTTTGAAGATGTGTTCAAAGCCTCTTGCCTTGCTCTGTGAGCTTCTAGAATAGATCTGAATCTGGGCAAGCAGCCCGAGAGATAAGGGAGAGGGAGCATGAAAGATTGCAAATGCATTTCAGAGGAAGCCAAAAAAACATAGCAAGTGTGTCTGACTTTCCACTACCTAAGAGAGGAGCTCTCTTGGAAGACTAGCCAGAAAAACAGGCTCTCTCCCCTTGAAGATTAGTCCCCATGTAATACATACAGCTGATCACAGAGATTTGGGAGGAGATGGGGCTGGGAAGCAAGCTTTTGAGGGCCTGGTTTGTTTTCCTGCTGGCTGGTCCTATCAGGGCTGCAAGGGAATAGGAGTTGTTGATTTAATGTCCACCCTCTGGGCATGGGTAAATAAAATGGTCACAGGGAGGAGGAATAAAATTAAAAAGCTTGGAAAATCCATCGGTCAGACAGCCTGTAATTGGGGGTGAGGTGGGGGAGAGAAAGAACTAAAGTTTACTGAGCCTGTGCTAAGTGTTTTTCATCTAAGTCTCCCTTTTAGACTTCATAGCAACTTACAGTTTGTGTGTTTTGTAGATAATAGTGAGATTCTCACTACTAATGAGGGGATGACTATTGCTATTGACTATTATTGACTATTGCCATCCTCATTACTACTGAAGAGAGTTTAAATAACTTTGCTAACACAGAGGTCCAAACCCATACCCTTTCTCCCCAGCATACAGTTGAACTCTACGACCTAGGACTGATCTCTGCACAGGGCTGGTTAACAGGAAGACAAGTGGCGGGCTTGCAGGGGCTCCAGGACTTACGGCATTCGGGCAGCATGCACTTTTCCACCTGCTCCAGCTCCTCATTACAGTCCCCAAGTTCGGCCAGAGACTTGAGCATCCGCTGGCGGGTCCGCATGCCCTTCCCACAGGTCACGCTGCAGTCGCTCCACTCGGACCATGGGGACAGCAAGCAGGGGATGGTGTCTAGGCCGAGAGCCAGGTTTGCCACTGAGAACAGGCCCCCTTTGCTTTCTTTGATTTCCTTGTGCCCTCCACCCCCTGGCCTGCTCTAGCCCCTGGAATAAAGTGAAATTGACCAATGGGTTCAGATAACCCAAATGAACCCCATGGGGCAAGAACTGTCTCAGCAGACTCCTGCTCTTCTTGTCACTCACCTGCATCTCCCATGGCCCCACTAGCGGCCATGCTGTGACATCAGATGTGGTTCAGTAACATGAATACACGCCCCATCTGAAACACCACTGAGGGTCTGAGTAGGGTCTAGAGACAGAAACATCCCACATGCCCCAGGAACCATGCACTAAAAGGGTCAGTGATGCATTTTTAAACCTCTAGGATGTGTATGTGCCTTTGTGCAGATGTACATATGTGGCCTATGTGCCTTTGTGCATAGAGCAGGGGTTGTAATCCTTTATGGGGCCAATCAAATCCGATTTAAAACAAGAGTGAGGGGCCTAGAGTGACCTGGGGGATGTACATCTACATAAAAGTATTATAACCCCACAAATTTACTTTGGGGGCCTATAAAACAGCCACAGGTGAATTCTATCCAGAGGCCATCCAGGTGTCACTCTAGTATTACTCAGAATGTCCCTAAGAGGAGGCCACACTCTGTGTCTGACTGATGTCCACACACCTGTGGCCCTCATCTCGCTCCTAGTGGTGCCCTGCAAGGACGGTGGACCTTGATGGTAGTCGGGGGCGCTGTGGTCCTCCATACTGTCCCGGTCCCCACCTCCCACACCCACTCACGGCACTCGGGCATCATGCACTTCTCTGCCTGAGACATCTCGGCCTTGCACGTGGAGCCATCTGCTGGGCTCATCTTGACCATGCGGTGCCGCTTCTTCATGCCCATCCCGCAGGTGGCGCTGCACTCGTCCCACTCGCCCCACTCGGTCATCAGGCAGCTGCTGGGAGCTGGGAAGTCCCAGGGCGTTGGAGTCGCATCGGCGGCCTCGGGAACCCCATGCCCTCCCCGTCCGCTTGGCGCCCCACTCACAGCACTCCTCGTTGACCGTGCATTTCTCCGTCTCCTCGGTGGGCAGCGTGCACACGGAGCCGTCCTCCGGGAACTGCTTCACGTACCTCTCCCGGGACCGCATGCCCATGCCGCAGGAGATGCTGCAGGGCGACCAGGTGATCCACTCGGACATGGTGCAGGTGGAGCCATCTGTAACACACAGAGCGGACGCTGCAGTGCGAGTGCCGCGCGCCAGGGGGCGCGCCAGACACGACCCCGCCACCCAAGGGCGGGAATCAAGAAGGAACCAGCTGGCTTTCACAGGGATTTAGGCAGTTGAGGATGGAAGAGAACATAAAAGGTAGTATAAATCTTTAAACCAGGAACTTCTCTAAGAGGAAATGAAATGCCTTTTTCCAGGTGCATGGGGGCACTCAGTAAGGATTACTTCTTATCCTGTGCCAGTACATATGAAAGATGCTTGGTTGGCTTTACACATATATAATATATAATATATGTGGGATATGATATAGTTTAACCTACATATAATTTAAGATAAGTCGCAATCCATTTTAAGGTTTGGGATGTATCACATTTAAGACCATTAAATAAAATTTAAAATTCATTTTCTCAGTCACTAACCACATTTTAAGTGCTAACTAGCTATGTATGGCTAGTGGCTACTATATTGGACAGTGCAGATATAGAACATTCCCTTTATGACCGAAAGTTCCATTGGACAGCAGTGGAAAGCAAATATATCTATATATATATTCTGAGATACCATAAAGTTCTTTTGCTCAGAGGAGCCTGAGACTTTAGTTATTATTTAAAGCTACCAGTTCTAGTCTAGAAAAATAGATGAGATAATTTTGTTCCTGAGGGTAGAAAGTATGACTGGCCTTGGAACATAGGGATCTGTGTCCACAGGGCTATGTCCACAGGGCTGATCTGTGCCCAAAGGGCAGATTATACTAAGTGGCCACAGGCATCTCAGTGCCTCAGCTGAGGTTGGTAACAAAGAAGAGAAGACCTCAGCTGATAAAAAGGGGCAGGGAATGTCTGCATGTGTCAGGAGAAGGGGATATAGAGGAAGAATGAGGAAGGCAATATAGCCAGCCTTCTGCGTTGATGTCTTGGACTATATAAGGCTTTGCTCCCATCAGTGGGTGTCAGCAAAGGCCATGATTATATAGGAGACAGTCAAGAGGTTGGTGAAAAATACAATTGAACCTCCAAACATGGCTTGAAGGTCCTGTTTCAAAGGTGGTTGTGGGGTGCTGCACCTGGTGGAAACACAGGTTTGTGTGTGTGCATGTGTATGTGTGTGCATGTGTGCACATATGTGTGTACATGTCTTGCTTAGTTCTTTAAAAAGAAGAAAATGAAGTCATCCATCCACCATCCATCTATTTATTCATGTCAATAAAGACTTACTGAATGCTTAGTTGGTATGGTCTGAGGTTAAAAAGATGTGTAAGATATGGATCTTGTTCTACTCCAGAGAGACAGAGAGAGATAGGCACATAAAACAGACAATAATTCCAGCTATTGAAAATAGGACAACAAAGAGAAGCCCAAGGAATTGGGGAGCACAGAAGAGGGGAGGATCTCCTTCTGGTAGTTCTGAGAAGATTTTACACAAGAGGGCACATCTGAGTGTACTTCGTGGGGTAATAAATATTTGCATTTAAGGTGAAGGGAACTGCTCATTCAAAAAACCCTGTACAGAGTGTATATGTGTGTGGTATTAGGAGATGAAATTAGAAAGGACAATTAAAGTCGGAGTGTGAGGCCAGCCTGCACATGTCTACAGGCTGTCACTTGCACATGTGTGATATTGACACATTGTTATTTAACATGTAGACAGTGTAGCTAGACAGTGCTGGTAGTGCAGCAAGAAATCATAGCTGGAACCTGCACGTTAGAGCCGGGGCAAAGCTAACTGAAGATACATGTACAACCAAATAAGATAAATATGTTCCAGTGTGATCTGGTTGGGGTGTAGGGCTTGACAAGCCCCAATTCAGGCTTCCTTCTGGGCAGGCAGAATGCCCTCACAACCAGCCTGAGTGTCTTCTGAGAGGAAGAGGTTAGACTCAATAGGCTCATCTCTTCAAGTGTCTTCAGGTGCCTTTACTGACAGCGTGTCTTTTAGTACTGCAGGATAATGTTAACTGTGTTGGATGAGTGTCAGAGTGCTTGTTTTTCCAGTCCTTTACCTTGGCTCTCTGCAGGACTGTTTTGCCAATAAATTAAGCTGTGGAGTTTGCACAAGGGCAATAGGGAGCCACAAGTTTTTCAGTTAGGGAGTGACATGATCAGATATTTGTTTGCAAAGGATCCATTTAGTGGTGCCCTGGAAGTGGGGAGGGATGACAAGGCCTGGCTGGCTCAGATAATTAGGAAGAAACTCTAAGATGTAGTTGCCACAATAAAATGTATACTGATGTTGTCATTAAATTCCTTCTGAATGTCCAAAGGGATCTCATTTTCTAAATGCACCCCCAAATGATCAAATGCAGACGGGAACCTAATGGGGCACAAGAGAACTCTATTTATTTGGCCTTAAGTGGGGTAGCTTCTGGGGAACATGGACCCCAACTACAAAAAGCAGTTATATTTGCAGAAACAGAAAACTCTATCCTAAAATTCATATAGGCTCTTAAGGGCCTCCAAATAACAACAACAATAAAAATCTTGAAAAAAAAAGAACAAAGTTGGAAGACTCACACTTTCTGATTTCAAAATTTGCCACAAAGCTATAGTAATCGAAACAGCGTGGTACTGGCATATAGACCAATGGAATAGAATAGAGAGTCTAGAAATAAACCCTCACATATGTTGTCAAATGATTTTTGACAAGACCATTTAATAGAAAAAGAACAGTCTTTCAACAAATGGTGCTAGGAAATTTGGTTATCCACATACAAAAGAATTAAGTTGGATGCTTACCTACCACCGTATACAAAAATCAACTCGAAATGGATCAAAGACTTAAATGTAAGAGATAAAACCATAAAACTCATAGAAGAAAACATAGGGCAAAAACTTCATGACATTGAATTTGGCAGTGATTTCTTGGATATGACCCCAAAGGCCCAGGCAGTCATAGAAAAAGTAGACAAATTGAATTTCATGAAAAATAAATTTTGTGCATGAAAAGACACTATAAACAGTGAAAAGGTAACTTATGGAATAGGGAAAAATATTTGCAAATCATATATCTGACAAGGGATTTATATCTAGAATACAGAGGAAACTCTTAAAAGTCAACAACAAAAGACTAAACAACCCGATTCAAAAATGGGCAAAGGACTTGAATAGATATCCCTCTGAACAAGATACATGAATGGCCAGTAAGCACATAGACAGGAGTCTTGACATCATTAATCATTAGGGAAATGCTATCAAAACCACAAGATACCACTTCACACCCGTGAAGATGGCTACTATCTAATAAAAATAGAAAATAACAAGTATTGGTGGGATGTAGAGAAATTGAAACCCTGTGCACTGTTAGTGGGAATGTAAAATGGTACAGAAGCTGTGTAAAACAGTAGGGCGTTTCCTCAAAAAATTAAAAATAGTTACCGTGTAATCCAGCAATTCCACTTCTGCATATACACCCAAATGAATTGAAATCAGTCTCAAAGATATTTGTACACCAATGTTCATAGCATCATTATTTACAGCAGTTAAAAATGTAGAAGCGACTCAAGTGTCCATCGACAAATGAATGAATAAACAAAATGTAATATATACATATAATGGAATGTCATTCAACCTTTAAAAGGAAGTAAATTCTGACATATGCTACAACATAGATGAACCTTGAGGACATTATACTAAGTGAAACAAGCCAGTCACAAAAAGAGATACTGTAGGATTCCACTTATATGAGGTCCCTAGAATAGGCAAACTCAGACAGAAAGTAGAATGGTGGTTGCCAGGGGCTGGGGAGAGGGGGGAGGGGCAATCATTGTTCAATGGGTACGGAGTTTCAGTTTTGTAAAATGAAAATAGTTCTGGAGATGGACAGTGTGATAGTTACACAATTTGAATTTACTTAATATCAATGAACTGTACACTTAAAAACAGTTAGGATGGTAAATTTGATGTTATATACCACAATAAAAAAAATTGGAAATAAGAAAAAGCAGGCGCAGCCCAACATTTCAGAACTGTCATTATGACGTGGGGGCCCCCTGAATTAGTGTGAGGAAGGACTGTTCCCTGTGGAGGGGAAGTTAGAGACCTTAACTTCCACTGCAGGCCTCCGTCAGACAGACACCAACCAGCTCCAGCACCCCCAAAGAGAGCACCTGCAACGTTTCCTTCCTGCCCCCTGCCTGTTTGTGGGAATGGCCTGTCTATGGCAAGGTTCACACCCCTTCGAAGTGTCTTAGCATGGGCTCAGTTAATTAACCACTGTGCAGCCAGGAGAGGTGTTCAAGGCTGTCCCCAGGAAGAGCCAGAGAGCGAATGACTTGCAGTGGGGTAAGCTTTCTTCAATTATCCTCAGCTTGGAAGTGGTTTTCTTCCTGTCATACACCACCTCAGCCTATACATCTTGTTATTTGGAGGCCCTGTTGCCTCGTTGTACCTCTGAGACAGAAGATCACAGAGTACAGAGTGTAGACCTGTCCAGAGGAGTCAGCTGACCTTTGCACAGCAGTCAGCTTAGTGCCATCTTAAATCTTGAGCAATCATGATATAAGTGGTGCAAGCTCATAGTTCAAGCCTGACCTTTGAGCAGCTGCAGAGAGAGAGACAGTCTGAGAATTCCTGCAATCAGCTCCAAGGTCCTAACACAAGGAAGTGAGTGCTCTGACTCAGACTAAGGCCGAGGTGGGACATACCTGAGGGCCTGGGAATGACACAGAATCAGGGGAATGGATCTGGATTCAATGTTGCCCAACCTGTTCGCCTGATTTTTAAAAAGGGATTGGAGTTAAGGCCTAGAAGCAGGCTGATTGTTATCTGTAATTTGTCCTAAGATATTTGCTAGCTCTTTATTTTCTTGCATGGCTGGGAAGGAGCGGAGTGGTCAGTCAATCTCAAGAATTATTTTCAGTTTTATATCCCACATGTGAATGAAATCACATGGTTTCCAACCTTTTCCATCTGACTTATTTCACTTAACATGAGTATCTCAAGATTCACGCATGTCGTCACAAATGGCAGTATTTCATCTTTTCTTGTGGCTTAGTAATGTTCTATTGTATATATGTACCACATCTCCTTTATCTAATCATCTATAACTGAAAGCAACAAACAAACATGACAAATAAAGAGACTCATGGACACAGACTGTGGATTAGTGGATACCAGAGGGAAGTAGGGGTGAGGTAGATAGTGGTAAAGGGGTCAAATATTGGGTAATGGAAGACAAATCTAATTTTGAGTGGTAAACACGCAATGCAATATACATACATACAACATACTGTTGAACTGTACACTTGAAACTTATTTGATTTTATTAATCAATGTCACCCCAATAATTTTTAATAATAAGAAAAGAATATACGAAGAATCCTTTTGATGTTGTATGACATGATCTGTGTTCAGAGTCCTAGAGACACTGTTGGAGATGGGGGGCTGCCCTAGGTGGACTCCACTGAAAATTAGAGTCAGGGTCGTGGTGCCCCACTAGGGGACACTGCCTGACTGGGTGTGAGGGATCAGCATCGCCAGGCAGAACCCTCTCTTCCTGAGCTTCTGCCAGCCACTTGCTGGCCTGGGTTGTCTCCTCACCTTCATCGCTACAGCCTGGGCCCATGCAGGGCTGGAAGTCCTGGGTGTCAGGGCAGGGAACACTGAGGTCCAGCTGTGCCTTCAGCATGCGCTGCCGCATCCTCTTGCCTTTATCGCAGGTGGAGGAGCTGCAGGCGGACCACGGGGACCAGTTGGAGTAGATGCAGGTTTCAGGGGTGTCATCTGGGAAGAGTATGTGACATGTTTTCCTTGGGAGCCTGTGGCAGCTGGGCCTGGCCCTCTCCCCAGACAAGCTCATTTAAGAGGCTTGACCAGCCTCCATGAGTCTGGAACTCCTGAAATGGAAGCAGCCAGTCCCTTCCCTTTAATTATATTTTAGCATTCTGCTAATATATGTCTAAATAACCTAATAATAAGGAAAGATTCTCTTACTATCTCTTCCCCTCAACACATGAACGTTTTCATTCACGGTCCCTCATCATTTCCAAACAGGTGTGGGCATATCATAGGCAATTTGGGGAAGCACAGGTGTTTTTGGGTTGCTGCTTCATCTTCCCAGTGATGCCATACACAGGTGTCATGGTAAGAATAAGGGCAGCCCATGTTCCCTAAGCACTTATTATGCACCGACATCATTCTAAGAACCTTACATGTTTTATTTCATTTGATCCTTATGACAACCCTCTAAGAGGCAGGTTCTACTATTATCCCCATGTAATAGTTGAGGAAACTGTGGTAGAAAGGTGAGCTTCTTGCCCAAAGCCACAGAGGAGAGCCCAGGTTGTCTGGCTCGAGATGCTGTGAGAAAACTTGAACTGAAGCTATGGCTCTGCCATTCCCTCCTGACTGAAGGATCTGGGCTTCACTTTCCTTGCTGGAGTGGACGTACCCACACCTGCCTCACAGGCCAGCAAGAGCCAAAGCAGAGAGGGATCTGAGTACTGTGAAGCCTACGCAAATTCTATCTACATAATCATTTCGAAGGCCCGATACTGTTAATACATATTCCAGGGTCGTACTGGCATCAATCCTTCGACATTTTGTACCTAGCCTTGGCTTTACTTTGGATTTTCTTGCAAACAGAAATCCATAAAGATGGGTTTACCATGTCAAAGGATATGATATATTTGTGGCTTTTAAAACATGTTAGCAAATTGTTTTCCCAAAAGATCATGCCAATTTATGTTGCCACCGGCAACAAAGGGAAACGACATACCTTCATCTTTCTCCTCTGGAGCCAGGTCTGCTACAATATCATCCACGTTGTCAGGTACAATATTGCATTGTTCCCCCTGCAAAGGAATTTTACTTGGAGGGCTCACATTAAAGAATGGAATGTGTTGGAGAAAGATGAGGGAGGATATAAAATCTAAGGCTCATCCTGTATACAAATCCTAGGCCATCGTGGAGTTCTGGGCCAAAATTTACAATCAGACTGACTGAAAAAGGAATGGCAAGAAACTCACAGCTTCCTTGTTCTTGACCCGTGGCAGACATTAGTAATCAATTGTGAGACTCGGGATGAAACCTATTTGCCTGGATCAAATCATTCAGTTGATCATCGAATTCCACTACTATGTTCATTTTGCTCATTTATATTTTATGAATAATTTGCATTCTAGAAGCCTTGGGAAGCCCAAGAATTCTATATCCTGGAATATGCCAGGGGCTCCATGATTCTAGAGCAGAAAGGGGTACAGTCTCTTTGCACTCCTGGTAGAAAAGTTCTGTGCGAGGGTGAGCTCTAACCCAATACCTTCCGGGCGATTCTCTCGATGACAACTCTGGCTACTTGAGTGATGGACCCGCCCTCTGGATCATAAAAGGGACTCTGAGGATGGTCCAGACTGGTCAGGGGCCGGATTTTCTCCTGGGGAATTGTGGGCTTGTTGGGTGACTACAGTGGGGGAAAAACACAGACACAGAGAGTAGGAAATAAAACTGGTTAAAAACCACAAAAGCAATTTGATTGTAATGCGATCAGAACAAAAACCTTGACAGGAATTTAACAAATATAACTACTATTTATATTATGGAATTCCATTCATGCCATGTGTTGTGCGTGGAAATTTGTAGACTTATATTTTCAGATTCTCCCATGGACACAGTAGGATTATGCCCTGATGAAGAAGCCAAGTTTCAGAGTGATCGTCCCAGCTAGGAAATGGCTAAGCCGGGTTGGCCTGAGCCCAGAGCTCTTCCTACAGGACCAGGCGTCGGCAAACTTTTGTCTGCAGAGGGTCAGATGGTAAGTATTTTTGGCTGTGTGGGCCAAACCGTGTCTGTCCCAACGACTCAACTCAGCTGTTACAGTGAGAAAGAAGCCCCAGACGATATGTAATCGAATATGTGAGGCTGGGTTCAAAAATTTTATTTCAAATCAAGTGGTGGGCCAGATTTGCCCTACAAACCATAGTTTACCATCATTTGTTCTAGATTGTTCTACTATTGGTGTGCTGATGGCTCCAGATTTTGATGCAGCTGGTGTGCAGACCATATCTGAGAAATATCAAGGAAATATTCAGGAGAGACTGCAAACTCCTTAGCCTGGCTGTCCAAAACCTTTGGAATATGGCCCAGCCCCTAATGTACATCGACTTCCTTCTGGTCCCCATTCTCTCTCTCTCTCTCTCTCTCTCTCATACACATACACACATACTCACACTCACACTCACACTCACTCTCTCCTCTATGCATTTGCCTTTTGCCTGCTGTTCCCATGCTTACCTATAAACTGCTTATGAGCAGATTGCCTCTCCGTGCTCCCCTGGCCAGCTGCATGGACACTTTCTAGAGTCCAAATCAGACTGCATGTGAGCACATGATGACGAGACCATGCTGGCCTCCCCTACCACACTGTGAGCTCATTCAAGACATAGCCTGGGCTAGACTCAGCTCTTGTCCAGGACCCCTAGAACAGGGCTGGGCAAGGAGGAGGTGCTGGGCAAGGTTTGTCATCCGCCCCTCAAGGCGCACACCTACCTCATAGGTCACTCCGCTGTCAGTGCCAGCATCCCAGGGAATCAAGTCTTGCACCACCTTCTGCACCCAGCCACAGTCCTTGGTGCACAGGTCCTCCGCAGACAGCCCCACGTTCCAGTCGGGGCTGGGGCCCATCATGGTCAGGAAGGACATTAAATGGCGCGTCCTGTCCACAGAAAATTCAGCCGAGGGTGCTGCTCTCCTGGAAACCAAACACAGTGACCATTACACTAGGGGCCTCAGGGACACACACTCCGAAGGACATCTGGCCAGACCATGGCTAAAGGGTGAGAGGCACAGAAGGAAGGCGGATTCTCAGTCTCTCACTGAGCTCTGCCTTTGGCCACAACTGTTTTACAGGCCTCTCTTCCTTGAGTCCATCCATTGGCCGCACATAGAGAGAACCATATGCTACTACCTTCTCCAGTTTCAATGTGTCCACAGCACTTACAGTTATTTTGTATTTTTTTATTTATTTGTTTAGCTCTTTATTGACTGTCACCTCTCACTGGAGTGTAAGCTATGGGAAAGCAGGGCTTTCATCTACCTTATTCATGGCTTATTTCCAGTGTCTACAACAGTGTCTGGCACAAGGTAGATGCTTGGTAAATGTTTCTGAATAAATGAGTGAACAAATACTCTGTGCTCTATGTGCTCCCAGCTGTGTTGTATGTTAGATGGTCTTTACAAATAAAAGCTTGCTAACAATGCCCCAAGCCTTTTCTTATATGTTCTCAGTGAATCCTCAGAACAGACCTGGGATAAAGATGACTGACTCCAATTTATGGATGAGGAAACTGAGGCTCAGAAGGATTTTGTAATTTGTCCAAAGTCACAAAGTGAAGTTGCAGGACAGAGACCACAAACCAAGTCCATATTAGTTCAAGGTCAATGTTCTTTTTATCATCAATTTCTAAATCCTCCCCCCGCCCCCTTTTCACTCTACCGAGACATACGTTGGGCCATGAAAGGGGGCGTCTCCCTCATCCCGCTACCTCCATTGCCCTCAAGAGGCTACTTGTAGCAAGGCCCTGACACCTACAAGAGGCAGTTCTTCAACCTGTCTCCTTGGGTTGCTGAGAAGAGGTCTTAAGAGTGGCGAGGGCTGTGTGAGATCAATGGTGGTAGTCGGAGACTTATAATCACTCAGCACACACTTGGTGGCAGACCCACTCCCATGGCAATCCTGCGGGGTTAGAATTATTATCCCGTTTTATAGAGAAGAAAGCAAAGTGTATAGATATTCATGAACTTAGAGATAGTAGGGGTCAAGGTCTGAAGGCAGCTCTGCCTGATTTTACACCCCCAGGCTGCTAATCATGAAGAATCCTTGGCTGGGGACCAACTCATCTGTTCAGTCCATCTGGCAGCTGGTCCACCTCAGCTGTTAAGAGTCCCTGTGTCCCTCTGTTGGGATCAGCTGCTTCTGGCTACCCTCACCTGTCCCCAGAAAGCAGCGACTCCAGACCTGGTTAGGCCCTGTGGAACTGGACCCCTTGGGTTCTGGCAGGCCAGATGGGATCAAACAATGAGCAGACAGAGGGGGAAGCGTGGGTATGCATCCTGACACCACTTGTTATAGCTATGCATCTTTGGACAAATTACCAAACCTTTCTGAGCCTCAGTGTCCAAACCTATAATATGGGGATCCCCATATCTCTACTCCCAAGGGTTATTCTGAGTGCTCAGTGAGAGAGCTTGTATACTGTACTTGGCTCAGTGCCTGGCACCTGAGCTATTAGTATTACCATGATCCTTTCCCAATGTGTGCATTTTCTGGCATGTAGGTCAGTGGTTTTAGCAGCTTCTTTTAAGACCTGGCCTTTAGAAAAAGTCTGGGGAGCTCCAGCATTGCTCCCTAGGGACTAATAGGACATGGTCTGGGACCTGCCTTCCATTAAGAGCCAGACAGAGAGCACTGGCATCTGGGTGGGGCTGCTTTATCCCCCTACTCTCTTTGGCCCTTGGCCCCTGGAAGTCTAGCAGTGCCTTGGAGAACAGCCTTCCTCTTCCATTGCCATAGAGACCAACCACTACACCTATTACCTTCCCATCTCCCCAAGCATGTGGCTCTGGGTCAGTTTAGCTATTTAAATCCTGTACCCTATGGGTGACACTACTTATCATGACATCCTAATGGGATAAAAACAGCTCTGCTCAGGAATCCAGAGCAGGAGAAACCAAGCCACACCCCTCCCCCAATCCAACACGCCCTGCTGTTAGATGTAACCATCTGAGAACCTTGTGTTTTCCAAGGCCTTAGGCAAACCATCCTCTGCAAATGCATTTTGACCAGATCTTAGTATGTATTTCAAAAGGCAGGAAATTTGCAGTAACCAATCCCTGCACAAAACACCTGACTTTAGTTGGGTGATAAGGTGAATTTAAATCTCTAAGGGCCTGGGAGCGATTTTCTAATGTCTTCAGTTTAGCCCTGCTCTTTTCTCATACTCTTGATTAGACAATTCTCACTCCTCAGCCCTCAGCTTTACATAATGCATCCTGGAAGAGGCGCTTCTTGACCTCTCTCCAAATTGCTTAGGATGCCTTGTGTAACTTCCCAGTGCACGGTGAACTTACTCTTTCCTTGGGTGTCTTGTTTAATCTCCGCCTTTCCCCCTAGGTTCCTATGGAGTAGGGACCATTTTTGTCTTGTTCGCTCCTGAATCCCAGTGCCTGGCTTAGAACTTGGTGTGCAGTGGATTCTCCTCAAATATTTGTTGAAATAAATGATTTAATCTAGGAAATGAATATGCAGCTCTTGTACTTCCTTTGACCTTCAAATGTAATTTAAAAATCAGCTCAAAGTATTTATTACTTCTGTAATAAAAATGCTATTTAAAATAATGAAATGAATAAGAATATATGTGAATTTAATTTAGGAAATGCTAGATATGATTGGATTTCTTTAATTTGTCCAACCCATAAAAAAAAATCGTATTCATCATGCTTTCTTATATGCCATATTTCCCCATATACGGTATTTTGTTAACTTGGTTTCGTTTTTCTATCTGGAATTTAAATTTTAATCAGTTTTTTAGCAAAGAGAGTTTATCTGGCTATACCATATAATAGAATATATTATAAAGCATGATAATTAAAATGATGTAATAGTCAAGATAAGAAAGAAATATAAATCAGTGGCACAGAGTGGAGGTCCCAGAAACTTTACATAAGGATTTATATGAAATTAGAGAAATATTATGCAACAAGTGGGGTTGGGCTAATTTAATTGCAATTAAGAAATATGGGCTTCACATCTAATATCATACACCCTCCCCCGCAAAAATCTAGTTAAATATAAAACAACCAGATCAAAGGAAAAAAGTCAAGTTTTCTAATCTGTTAAAGAAATGTTATTTTTCTCAGCTTTGAAACAATCAAAGCAATCACAAAGGTAACTAATTGAATCATACATCGACTAAAAACATCTGTATAATGAAAACGACAGTATTAAATTAGAGAGAAAACATGACATGTTGGCAAAAAGACGTCCCTCTAGTGTGAATGACGAATGTTATTATCTACGGCATATACAGAGCTAATCTAAAAAAATTTCACAATCTCAATAAAGTTATGAACAGACAATTCACACCAGAAAAAATGAAGGCCAAGTGATGACACGAAGAAATGTTTTGTCTTTGTATTTTCAGAGAGGCAGCTGGTGTGTAGAAAGAACACAGGACACTAGAAGAGACAGTTGGATTTGAATCTTGGTTTAGCTACTTATTAGCTATGTGACAGGGTCTTTGACTCCACCTCTCTTTGCAGTTACTACATCTGCAAAATGGGCCCATCATCCTACCTACTCCCGTGGCTTTTTGTGAGGAACTTGCTTATCGTCACACAAAATAGGACTTGGGAAATGTTAATTTCTTTCTCATTCATTTTTCTAAGCAAAACTTCCAAAAATACCTCAAAAGAGTCAATAAAAGATTTTTATGGTCCTTCTAGAGATTTACTATCCCGTTCTAAATTACAGATCCACACCAGCGAGACTCGGGTTACTGGTGACTCAAGTCCCTGGTAACTCAGGTCCCTGGTAACTCAGGTCATTTAAATGTTGAGTTCTGTCTCTCAGGGCTCCTCAATAGAGCTTTCGAAGTTGCAGAAACGCAATATGGCCACGGGAGGGCGTTCAAACCATGCACTAGGCATGCACTAGGCTGAAGTCCTGTGTGGGTGGAAGAAGGTTTCGGTGAGGTTCCCTGACTGGGAAAACTGTTTATAACCTGGAGGCATCTAGGGCTCCGGGTTCATCTGGCCGATAAGATCCTCTAGTCCAAGGCCAATTTTCCTTTACAATCCTAAGGACATCGATGGATCTGGGCACGTGATACAGGAGGCAGAGAGAGCCCTGTACCTTCAGCCCCAATTTGAGAGAAAGACGTCTCTGACCTTTCCGGGAACCATTGCTTGGGTGATTATGGGGAACCCGTCCGCCAGAGGCAGGATTTCTGGAGAGGGTGACCCTGTCTCCAGTTCACCTACCACTCATCTGTCTGGAAAACACAGGCCATTGTCTAATCAAATGTTAATTAAACAGAGTAGCTGGGGATAATTAAGGGGACTACAGTCCTTATAGGACTCATTATAAGAAAGGGAATAAAAATTCTTTTAAAAAGTTCCAGTAATTCCTAGCATTCAGACTAAACCGGAGGAACTGGGTGGTGGAAATTCAGAATCGATTTTCAGGAAAACCGGGCATTTTCTACTCAGGCATCAGAGGAACTAATGGAGGATGTGGGATTTGTTCAGAATCTCTTTCCTGTCTCTACCTGCACCCTGGGCTGTCGGAGCCACAGCTTGATTTATTGAGCTAAACAAGTCTGCAGCTAATTTGTTCGTTCATGGCTGTCCTTTGAAAGCAGTCCTGTGGATAAAGATGACGATCATTGAAAAACAAGTCAGTTTCCACGGGCAGGACCCCACAAAGTAGGTCACCCTGGCCTTCCACTGGCCCGAAGGAGGGCAGAATCCCATTAACCTCAATTGAGCAGGCTCTGTGAGGAGGGGCAGGGCTGCGCCTGCAAAACAAAACTTGGCTGCATGGCGGCTTCCTAATTTGACTTCCTAATGAGATTTGGAAGAGGGAAGGGGAAAATAGGGTATGGGAATATCAAAGGAAAATAACTTTCATTTAACAGGCTGGTAGCGCTGAGTGGAGAGGGTTTGGGTGTTTGGGGGGGTCTGAACATTTGC